ATCCTTTTTATATTTTTATCAATAATTAATTATTTTCTAGGTAACAGAGCGATAATAGAGATCCCAGCTATTCACTACATACTTAAACATTTCAAACCACAAATCCTCCCATATACATGAAATATCTGTTGATGAGAAATGCAAGCTGCTTCCCAAGGGCTTATTGCTGGGGAATTGCAGATGGATAATTTTTCCCAACTGCACTAGTGAAGAACGACAGACCTATCAAAGCTAAGATCCTTAATGGAGTATACAACCTTTGACCCCGTTTAAACTTTAAAGAATGAGAATTGAGCACTCTGCCAGGATTATATGACTTTGTTCTATCCTGTTTTGAGAATGCCTCGTTCTTTGCTTTCAGCTTCAAGAGGCCCCGAAATTCTCATGGCCTTAGCCTTGAGGCCATTGTCTTCTTTTTTTAAAAAAAAACACGCAATAAATGAGACCGAGCAAAAGTTTGGAATATCCTGACTTTGTTTGAAAGTCGGCACTCTGCCGTACTTAAAAAAGATCAACAGCTTCCAAACTGAGGTTGAATTTAAGGATTATTCAAAATTCCACACGACCAAACTTAAATGTGTGACAATGGTCCTTATCTCTCAGATCTCCTGATACCCCATTCCTCTGCTCGACCCCTCCTCTCGGCTAAATTGAGTTTGCTTCATGTCTCCCTCCCTCTCCTCGCCACCATTGGCGGCTGAGATCTCAGATTCTATGGCCCTAATCTGTGGAACTGCCTCCAGCTCACTCCTCTTTCTGTCTTCAAATCCCTCCTTAAAACCTACCTCTTCAACTGTGCCAATGGTCACCTCCCCCCTTCCCTCTCCCTGGCGTGACATCTGATCCATCTTAGTATGCATTCCGAGATGTTAGCCGACATGAACGGTCCTATATGAATGCAAGTTGTTGTTGTTGGTGGTGGTGTTGTAATTTGCTGCTCAGTGGTTAGAGCACTCGCCTCGCAAGCGAGAGACCTGGATTCTAATCCCAGCAGAGCGAATGTTGGGCAAGTTTCCTTACTCCAGATGCCTCTGTTTACATAGCAGTAAGTAGGAGCCTGGTTGTTAATTAATTGACTTTTCTGGGGATAATAATCCCTCAAAAAAACAATAATATTTTGGTCATTCAATCCATGACTGTTTGTGGGACACTGATGGCTGCCGCATTTAACCTACAAATATACAACCAATTCACTTTAGAGAATATTCTGTGAAGTGCTTTGAGACGTCTTGAAGACGTAAAAAGGGCTATATCAAATGTGAGGATTGTTATTATTTATACCATGTAAGGTTTTCAGGCCTAAAGATCCTAAAACTCTTACAATTTGTTCACTCTTTTTAAAAGCGTCTTGTTTGGATGCTCTTAAGCGATAGGTTTCCGCGTGTGTCAGACATCTCTCTTTAGATAGTGGCGGTAATATTGTGTAAAATTTGTTCAATGTAAGAGAATGTGGTTTGCTAATGTGGGATCAAGTACAAACATGCATAGCAACAGGAAGGTCTTAATCGGAACCTGAGAATCCATTTGGAGTTTCCTGCTCAAGAATTTTTTTTNAACACCCACGCTGACACACAGAGTTTCTCGATGATCAAGTACAAAGAGACATTGGAAAACATGCATCAACAGTGTCAGAGGGATTCATTCTTTATTGTGAAGATTGTCATTTTTCCCTTTGCCTGATCTCCTCACTGATGGTCCTTGAGGGTAAAAGTTCCCCACCAAATGAAGACAATGTATTCAGATTGAGAGGGACCTGGCCAGTGATTTAATCCCAGATCTATTCAGACTGCACTGTTTTATCACATCACCTGATTCCTGTATTAAATGACTGTCTCGTGTCCACTTCCTGGGATTCGCTCCATAAAATATAGTCAATTCATTCTACAGTATATTGTGTGAAGAGCTTTGAGGTGTCTCAACGTGATAAGGCGCTGTATCAAATGCAAGGAATATTATTATTAATATTATTCATTGTGATATTATGTTTATGCTTGTTGCCACAATCTGAAAAGGTTAGGGAATGTGAGGCTGAGGAGAGAGGTGAATTTTACACTTGCATCTAGATTTACTCTTCTGTTGTCAGAGCATTCAGATCCTTGGCAAATTGTGAAATTCGGTGCTAACTTTGAATCGCGTTCATTGTAGTTCTTCATAAGAATAAGAAAGAAATTGACTGACCAGCATTTCCTTCTGTTCACGGAGCCAAACAAACAAAAGGCGAGAACCTAGAAAAGAGGGGCTCAGCTTGTTCCAATATCAACAACAACAACAGCAGCACACTACATTTGTATAGTGCCTTTCACGACGGGAGGACGTCCCAAGGTGCTGGATGGTCAGGGTGGGGGTTGGGATCAACAGGGGTGGAGGACAGGGAGAGTAGGGGTACGAGGGTGGCCGAAGGCTCGGTCGAAGAGCAGGGTCTTGAAACTGGTCTTGAAGGAGGGGAGGGAGGGGGGGCGAGGTGAAGGGACTGGGGAACGGAGATCCAGAGGGTGGGGGCAGAGAGGCTGAAGGCCTGACCGCCAATGGTGGTGCGGGCCGGGCGGGGGACGTGGAGAAGGCCGATACCTGCACCGGTGTGTTTGGTTTGTATCTGCCGTGCAAACCAAAGATGCGTTTAATGGGGCATTTCAAAGTTCAGGATTGTCATGCTCCGGTGCTGTAAATGTGATACACAATTCCGAGGAATTGCATTAGGGTTATTCTACCCAGCAGCTTGACGCAGGAGTAACTGTACTGCTTCCCTGTTATATAATAGCTGCAATCGCAATCCAGAAACCAATACGCATCACAGTGTAACACATCAGCTCGAAAATTCTCATTCTACTTGTTAATATGAGTCCAATCCTGATGTGTGTGTAAGTTTGTGAGGCCAGATAAGGGACATTGTAGATTTCACCACCTATGAGTTGGTAGACTTCCTGGCCAATACCACAGAGTATATTCCTTTAGCGCCAGCTTCCAGGACTGAGAGCAATGCCAATCCCACGTTTCTCCAAGGATTATTATTTCATGGATTTGCTGTGTACAGCCGCAAAGTGGCTGACGTCTGTGATTTCTCCAGGCATGTAAGAAAATGAATTCATGCATTTCTTTGTGCAGGGGACAGATAATAAAAATAACAATAATGATAATAATAATCCTTGCATTTGGTATAAGGCCTTATCACATCTTCTAGACGTCTCGAAGTGCTTCACTGAATATACTGTAAAGTGAATTGACTGTATACTTTGTGGGCGAAACTTTGTGGATGTAAAGGGGTAACTTTAAATTGAAAGTACTTCTAAACTTCACTGCCCCCCCCCCCACCCAAGACAAAATAAAAGGACAGTGCCTTTTATTGTTACCTATCAAGCCAGTGTCCATTGACCGAGTAAGTCGAAATTCACATTGTAAAGGAACAGTGTACCTATGTAGGTTTTAATATTCTCACTTAATTTAATTTAAGCAGTAATGAGATTTTATGTTTTAAGTGGGAAATTGGTTAGTACAGAGCCAGCTTGCCTTCTTATAGATTATTACATTATTGTTATTATTAGATAAATATTTCTCAGTTTGGAATGGGCGTTTTTGTGTAAGTAGCAAAAAAGCATTCAAGAAGCAAGAGTAGAAATGGGCTTTACGACAACTTAAATGTTTTTTAACATAGAAAAGTCCACACAGACTTCTCAAGGAGCTTTTGCTAACAGGTTTTAACAATTAAACTTTGTCAACATCATCAGACTGTAACAGAATCACTCCATATTGAATCGAAAATATATTTACTATCGGACATTATCGTTGGAATAGATAATAATGGATTACTTGAAGTAAATTCATAGAGTAAAAAAGGATGTATCTAATGAGGAGTAATTACAATATGGTAAAATAATGACAATAATAATAATTATTATTGCATTTGATCTTGTCCCTTATCACGTCATCAAAATGTCTCAAAGTGCTTCATAGCATATACTGTAAAGTCAATTGACTATGTTTTATGGGCGAAACGCGGCAGCCAATTGCGCACAGCAGGGTCCCACAAACAGTCGTGGATTGAATGAGCAAATTATTATTATTTTTTAAAATTTATTTTAATTTAATTTAGAAAATCTCAATTGACCATGGTGATGGGTTTCTGCTGACATCAAGCACGTGGGGAACAAAAGGAAAAGCTCCAGTAGGGTAGCAAGCTATCAGCACAGTCGTGTTGATAAATGTTCTCCTTTTGTTCCTGCAAACATTTTACCTTTCTATTAATTTTTATTGTTTCACAAATATGCTGAAATAACAGTGTTGATTTTGAACCAATATTTTGCGACGAGACAAACGGTGCAGCATGTGAAAAGGATATAGTTCAAAGTTATTTTTGAACACAATTATGCTATCACTCCGCAAATATTGCTGCATAAAAGAATGCTTTGACCGTTTTTTAAAAAATGTTTATTTAATACAAATCAGAGTCATTTGTAGATAATGGAAGGATTGACGTTCCTCGGTTAAAATATTTGCAGCACATCAACCACATTTATTTCTGAGGAACGATTAGTTTTGCACCACAAGCTAACCACAGTCATTGAACACCACCAGCAACTGACATACCAACATTTTTTTGAACAGTCTAATTCAACATACCAGGGTTTTTCTTAGGGTTAAGCATCCCTCCCTCATGTTAACATGCAATCAAACTGGGGGAGAGGGGGAGGCTTTGCTACAAACTGCCTCTTGTGGATGAAAGTCCGTGCCAATGAGGGACTTGCTAAGAGATGCCACTGAGCCCACAAAATATACAATCACTATCACTACACGTTACAGTATATTCTGCGAAGCACTTTGAGGCTTCTCGAAGACGTGATAAGATGCTATATCAAATGCAAGGATTATTATTATTATTATTAAGGTATGACTGGAGGTGTTTTGAGACCAGGCATTATAATAATGTAAACATTACCTTAGAGTGTGTGCTTTTGTTTCCTCCTCTTGTTCTTGAGCCAAACTGACAAAATGTTTTCAATTGTTAGGTTAGAAGCTGTTCACTGTGGATGCTACCCGTTGTGCCCTAAAGCCTTGGTGTATCCAGAGATCTTTCCAGGTAAATTAATCAAGTTCAAATTAGTGGTTCCGTGTTGCCAATAGTTTTACATTTTGGAAATGGTAAAGTATTATTATAGCTATGTGAGCTGTGCATTATTCAAGGATGTTTTCGCTTACGAGAAATCTGCTCTGCTGTTTCTCATTTTCTACGAGGATCTGTTGCCCTTTTAAAAAAAACAGAATTAAAAAAATGACTATGGGGTCGATAATGCGCCACGTCTAAACTATATGTAAATAGAGCCCGTATTATGGGCCGTGCGTAAATGCATACGCACAGAGGGAATTACAAGGTGCCCTTGATAATGCCATTGCCACCAGTGAAAAATAATTGGTTAAACTATGAGAAACAATGACAATTCTTTTTCTTCAGAAGGTGGTTTACACATGGTATACACATGGCAGTTAATAGACACCCATGTTGTAATTTGGTGAGATTTTACAAGCACCCCGCACCTAGTTTATATTGGCAGGTTTGTGTTGGTTTTAATCCAGCATACACTGAGCTCCAATATGAGCTTGGCAGTAACGAATGCTGCCAAACTGTGCATTCCAGTTTCCACCATGAAAAGATCTCCCCTTTAAGGACCTGGGTTCAGGCCAGTATGAAATCAGAGGCACAGCAGTAAACCATGGCTGAAATATCCACGCCAAGATAATTTATCCCGGCATTCCTCATTTCTCTTTGGTGTCTCGAGGCACCAACAGCAAGTTGATGTCTGTTTTAAGATGCAACCCTGGCAGAGTATTGCCAGACAGGATGTTGTGCAGACTTTAAAAGCAGATTTGTTGCTTATTGCAGGCATGGATTTGGTCATGGCATAGACTCGACCTGGTGTGGTAGGGGATACAAATGAAGGATACAACAACAACAACAAGTTGCATTTCTGTTGCACCCTTCACATAGGATAATGATTTGGAGCACTTTAAAGTGACAGGGTCAGACACCAAATAGGGAAGGGAGAGCGTTGAAGAAGTAGCTTTCAAGGGAGATTTTTTTTAGGTCAGCCGGGTGTCTGACACATGCGGAAACCCATCACCGTGCTTAAGAGTATCCAAACCAAGCTGAGATTCCCACGCATCCCACCTACACATGGAAATCCCAGAGATAGATTGTCGGAACGGAATGCACACTCACTCCCAGGAGGAAGGCATCCTGCTTACCTAATTCCGGAAAGTATTAGGCAAAGGTTGGCAAACAGCCAAGGCTTGGGGACCCCAGTGTGTGCGTTGGGGTAATTGCCAAAGTCTAACCAACTAAACCCACGTAGCTTGTCAGGGGTTGAACTTGACAGAATTCACTTCAGTTTGAGATCTTGGTTGGATCTGTGCTATTATTTTAATGGGCCTAATTTTCCCAAACAAGTACAAATTCATCCCAAAGGCGTCAGAGTGGAGAACCGCCGTACGTTGCTTCCATACACCCCTATTGTCTCATTCACTTTAAGCAGGCAAGGTTACTGTACTCGGAGCAAGCCCAGCACCATCATGCTTAAATAATGTAAAACATGAGAGGCACAGAACAATATGTGATGTTAATCAGTAAAGGGGCTAAGTCTAAGTGGCTGCTTTGAGGTTAGTTTCATTAAAAATGCATCTGATTCCTTTGCAGCTGAATATCTCTACTCCACACCTGAACAGCTTCTTAAAAGGCTTCAGAATTTCTGCAAGCAACCAGATCTTGTAAGGAAGAAGGTTATCAAGGTAGTTTATTTAATTAACAGAGAAAGCCCAGACAGCCATTTGTTTTTTCAAAGGTTACTTTTACAAGCTGCTACCCTTTGAATTAGTGGTGCAATGAACAACTCAGCCACTGCCTCAGTTTCCCTTTTGTGTTTTTTTGTAAAAGCATAAATTAAGAGAGACCGAACCAAACATTTATGACACCCTGATCACAAACGGTTCACTTTTACCCAGAGGCTTTTGTGTTTATTTATGTGTTGCGTTTTTGTCAGAGGGCGGGGAAAAAAAATTAAGCAGACCCAAAGAATCTTTAAAGCATTGAGATATTTCCTGGCCTGTTTATTTAGATGAGGCTGAGAAGTGTGTGAACAGGAAAAGCCACACTTTTTTAGTGCTGTGTAGCTAGGGTAAACGGGAACGGGCTGCCGATCTTGATTTCATTGATGTGCTTTTACTGGTAGCAAATGGCTCCAGTTCAGACGGTTTACATTTGCAAGGTGTGTGAAAGAAATCCACTTTGCTTTTATTGTCGCTTGTTAAACTTGCTCAGTAACCTCCAGGTTGCTCCAACTCCTCTACTCAGCAGATGCTTTTCTAACCCGAGGCTCTCTGAGCTCATCGGTGGATTATAATAATAATAATTCCTGCATTATACGTATTGCCTTATCACGTCAACGAGGCGTCTCAAAGCGCTTCACAGAATATACTGTAAAGTGAATTCACTGTCTATTTTTGTGGGCGAAACATGGCAGCCAATTCCGCACAGCAGTGTCCCACAAACAGTCGTGGACCGAGTGACCAAATTACTATTTTTTTTGAATGGATTATTATTCCAGGGAAAAGCGATCCGTCAATCGACTGACAGCCGGGTTCCTACTTACTGCTAGGTAAACTACTAGAAGCGTGTGGAGTAAAGAAAGGTTTCGCCCCGCCTGGCAATGGCATGACACTTGCTTTGGCAGCTAAACGGACAAGGCAGTGGGTTCATTTCAAGTCGGGATTGATGTCCTCCATCTCCATTACTTCCAATAAAATAAGTTACACCAGCACGTGGAAAAGGCAAGTGTGTCTGGAAATTTAAAATGGTACTTTGTTACGAGCATGTTTTTTCAGGGTAGAGCCGGGAGAAAGAGGATGGATGGAAAGGGGTTGGGGAAGGAATTGGAGGATAAAGTCCTGGCTCTCACACGCTCTGTAAGTAGGTGGGAGGCAAGACTTGCAATTGGAGAGAGGATTGGAGAATTTAGTCTCAGAGCTAGTAAGAGTGTAGAGTTGGGAGAGGGATGGGAGGCAAGTGGTTTGTAAACTAACCATTTTGTCTGTTCCTGATCATGACTGACAATATATTCTACTGCATTTTGTAGGAAGTAATAGTTTCCCTAATTGTAAGTTGAAATTCTACAAGCACAGGCTCTTGTTTGCACCATGTGCTCTTTGCACCATGTGCACTAAAGTCAAATGTATTCCAAAAGGTCTGGGGAAACAGGAACAAAACCTGGATGAGTCTCTTTTCTGATTATCTTTGGGTATTTTATTAATTACAATAGCTGCAGCAATAATTAATAGACAACTTTTTTTACTGGGCTTGTATAGCATCACTTAATTTCAGCGGATACTTAAATGAAATTTTAGCGTAAAAAGAATCCCATTAGTTTTAACTTTGTAAAATGGTAAACCCCCGTCATTTAGGTCAAAAATGTGTGAAACAAAAACTCAATTTAACACACAATTTCAAACTCATTATCTTTCAATGTCTATTAACTTGGCAATGGTTCAGATGCCAGCTCATAATACTTCAAAATGCTGAGCGGACAATTCTTCTGTCGCTCATCATTCCTGTGCACAGCATTCTGCACATTCTTTTGGTCGGGTCTAAGCTTTAAAGGGGAAGTGTTGCCAATTCTGCAGCTGTATCCGTTATTCAAACCTGTGCACATTAATTATCCAGTGATCTACCACTTTCACAGTTCAAACAGCTTGGCTGAACGAATGATAAGGCAACTTTTTTTTTCCAGAAGAGTGGGGTGAAAATCGTGATGTTTCATCATTATCACGTGAGAGGCAAATATCAGCCCAGTTGTTTTTCAGGACAGATCTTCCCACTCACATTCATGTTTCAATGCAATACAATATACAATGACATTTGTATAATGCCTTTCACGTCAGGAGGACGTCCCAAGGTGCTGAATATACACACGCCTCAGTATATATTTTTCAGCAGGGTGATCAATCACCTCTCTCCGCTGCCTTTCACTGCCTACATGTGACTTTTTCAACATTTACCCCGAAATCTGTGACTTTTACTAAATTTCCGTGATTTTTGATTATTGGTGCGTCAGTCTGACTCGGTGAGTAGCACTCTCGCCTCTGAGTCAGAAGGTTCAAACCCCACGTCACAACTTTGAACTCATGCAGTCTCGCCTGATGCTCCAATGCAGTCCCAGGGGTGTACTGCAGTGTTGGGGTGCCGTCTTTTAATGAGACGTTAAACCGAGGTCCCGTCTGCCTATTCAGGGGGACGTAAAAGATCCCACGGCACTACTCGAAAACAAAAGCGAATTTCACCTGGGGTCCTGGCCAACAATCCACCAAATAAAAGTAACCTTTCACTTTATGTTTGTAGAACATTGGTGTATGCAAAATTGGCTGCTGCATTTGGCTATGAAATACAATGTCACTACAATTTACAGGGAATCCTGTAAAGCACTTTGAGACAACCTCTCGTTGTGAAAGGCGCTGTATAAAATGGAAGACTGATTATTGCTATTTACTGGGAGTGATAAATTCCACTCCCCAACACGGATCTCCTTCACCTTCATGAACACAAAAGATTTCACATATATTAGCTATATCACTTTATATATATAAAAATTGCATTCAAATTATTTTCCTACCTGGCTAAAACTCTGTTGCATAAGAACATAAGAGATGCTAGGCGAAAAAAAGGCCAAGGTCCATCTAGTTCGCCTTCCATCTTACTGAGGATCGCATGTACATATGTCCCAACTTAGTGCTGTATCATATTATGTTATTTCCTAAAAGAAAAATAAGAACATAATTTAAAAGAGTATTTGCTTCTGATGGCTGTTGTGCTAGAATCTTAACTGCAGAATTAAAGAAATGAACAGAGGTGCAACAAAAGCACCAGGAACCTAAGGACATTAGCTGAGGGTTAGGATTCTGCTACTTCATAGTAGGCGAATTTCTGCCTGCACGGTTACTTGTTTTGCTGCATCTCACAGGACAGTACTTCCAGCATATTGAGCTGCTCGGCAAATGTTTCAGCAGATTATAATTAAAAGAGCAAATGGTGACCCCCATTGGGACATGGCTCAGAGGGCAATAGTATTATGTTCTATCACATTGTGAAAGACCTTACCAGTGAATCAGTAAGCAGCAGCGAAACCCACTGTCCAGGTCTCCAAGTGGTTCGCTGACACGAGTTACTGAGGAGTCACAGGCATTTGCTTCGTGAACAGGGAGGTAGAGAATTGAAACAGAATTGTTTCAGCCTGAATCATGTTCTAAACTCTGCTGAAGCAGACTCTGTAAATAATTTTAAGCGGGAAGTGGATAAGGTGCTTTAAAAAGAATAGTGGGGAGCGTGGGAAGCAAGTGGGAGTGAGGAGTTAGACTAGGTAGTTCATGTCACGTGGAGGAAAGCACCAGTGCGTAAACACGATAGGCTAATGTGCTGGTTCGGTTCTAATTCTTGTATTCTTGGGTTAGGGTTCTGTATTAATAAGACAAAGCTTGGAACATCATCGCTCACCATAATTACTCGCTTTGACTCCTTGCGTACCAAAATTCATTCTCCCAGAACTCCTGGCTTGAGACTTGAGGCTACTGAATTGACGTAGGAAGACAGGACCAGGAGGAGCCATTCAGCCCATCGATCTTATTCCACAGGTTTATTAGATCTTAGCAGATCTGTTGCTCCCAACGCCACACCAATATTTCTTAATACCTTTGCTACCCAAGGATCTATCCATCTCTATTTCAGATAACCATATTGATTCCAATTCTACAGCTTTCTGGGGCAGAGATTCCACATCCTCACTATCCTCCGTATTCATAAACAATATTTTCATGGCATACATTCTTGACTTCAGTTCTAACCGTCTTAGTGCTGACTTTAAGGCTATGTCCCTTGCAATGGTTCCCTCTCCAGGAATGAAGAGCAGTCCAATATCTAATCTGTCAATTCCTTTATTTGAAAAACCTCATTGAAATTATCCCTGAACCTTTTCTTGCACTAAGGACTATAGCCATAGTTAGGGTTACTCTCTCATAACTGAATGCTTTCAGCCCAGGTATTCATCTAACCTTAAACTTATCAAATCATTCCATTGACGTTCAGGTTGGGGCTTCAAAGGACTGTTTCCATTCTAGAATGAAAGACTTTGGCCATTGTCTTAGGAACGATATGCTTGAATATTTCACCTCTAACTGTGTTTTCCTCCGAACGTGAGCAATTAAAAGACTTGCTGTAACATGTTAGAGATTTCTAAGGGATGAGTTTGGATATTAATGATAATAATAATCCTTACACTTGATATAGCTTCTTTCACATCAAGAGGATGTCTCAAAACACTTCACAGGGTATTGATAAAGTGTAGAAACTGTGGATTTTGTAGGCAACTGTATGTACTATGTACTCTTAAGTGAAAGAGTACATAGCGTACAAACTAGCTTCAACCATTCTGCTTCATGTATTCAGAAACGTGTTTGGGATGCAACAGAAAAATCAATAGCAGATGACTGAGAGTTAGTTACATGGCTGTACCAAACCCAAGAGATTTTGGCGGTATCGTATGATGTGAATATATTGTTTATGAACTTCTGAGAGTACATTGCACACTTGAACACACTGCTGGCTGTTTGCTATTCTTTATATTCAATCCAGTCTTCAGTTGATTTTCTATTTTTGCGTCTTTCTTTTGTTGTTCATATCTTCTATCACCACAGGCTGTTTTTTATGATTATTGGTATGTGACTTTACATCATGTGACAGGAAGAAGGGCGTTTTACAAGATTATAACACGGCGGGGGAGGGGGGAGATTTCTACTGGGAAATAATACATACAGTCTGCTCTGAAGACCGGAAGAATGTCTCAATGAAAAATAATATACTTTATTTCACTGAGTTGTGACTTTTCTTCATATGTAACATATTGGATAATAAATGGTTGCCAATGCGTTACAAGGCAGCAATTTCATCATGTGGATCTTAGGACATCGCTTAGGCCATCTCACTGAACTACTGGGTGCAACTCACTGCTCCTTCGGGCTTGCACACAAACAATAGGAGGCAGATACAGGAGAAAGGGTAATAAAAGCTGATCGCAGCACAGGAACTGAGGGGACCTGATTGCATATAATAATAATGACCCTTACATTTGATATAGCACCTTTCATGTTGGGAGCAGATCTCAAAGTGCTTCACTGGATTTCTGGTGCAGTGGCTGTATATTTTGCAGGTTGAACATGGCAGCCAGTTTTGCGCAAAGCAATGTCCCGCAAAGAGCCATGAAAATGACTGACCAATTTTATTTGGGAGAAATAGTCTTGAAATAAAATAGTGGGGGAGTGAGGGTTTTGGGAAAGCAAAGTTTAAACTTCTGTTGTACTGCAATTAATGCTGAATATGCTTCTAACACATCCAATTTGTTAATTCTTAAACGTATGTTCGCGATGTGAATTTATTCCTCGGCCCCAGTAAATATACCACAGTAAAGCAGAAGTTCTAGCTATCAATTAGAAGAATTAAGAGGGATTCCTGACATTCCCCCCAAAATCAGATAGTTTCCTTTAATAAATTAACTTAAGAGCAAACAGTTTTCTTCTCTTATTAGTTTTACATTAGTCCTGAAGTTGTCATTGGTGTTACCAATATTATTTTGTATTTTTGACCTCTGTTTGCATTCAGTTCAATGGACTATAATAACGACCTTGCATTTAATAGGATGCTCTATCGTGTAAGAGAAAAGCCTGAAAGCACTTTAGAGGGTTTTACTGTAAAGTATAATGATTGTCTATTTGTCAGCAAATGCAGCAGCCAATTTGTGCACAGCAATGACTCATAACCAGCCATGAAGTGAATGCCCAATTTTATCTGGAGAATTCTGGTACACCGCGAGAAACCCCCTTTCTCTTTTTTGAATAATTAACTTATACCTAAACAGTTTACCTCAGTTTAGCATCTCATCTCATCCCAAGTACAGGTGATATTGATGTTCTCAGTGCCTATAATTTTTGCCAGGTATTTTTACTTTATGTAATACATTAGTTAAGATCCAAATCCTTGGTAATTTTGTATGTAATACTAATACTACTAATAATAATCCTTGCATTCAATATAGTGCTTTATCATGTCTTTGAGACGTCTCAAAGCACTTCACAGAATATGCTGTAAAGTGAATTGACTGTATATTTTGTGGGCAAAATGCAGCAGCCAAATGCACACAGCAGCGGCCCACAAACAGTCATGGATTGAGTGACCAAATTTTTTTAAAGGAATTATTACCCCTGGAAAAGCGATCTGCCAATCGACTAACAACCAGGTTCCTACTTACTGCTAGGTAAACAGAGGCGCGTGGAGTAAGGAAACTTGGCCTATATTTGGCCCGGCTGGGAATCAAACCCAGGTCTCTCGCTTGCGAGGGGAGTGCTCTAACCACTGAGCTACATGTACCAGTGCGAAATGTTTCACTTCCCTCAACAGAAACCTTCATGCCTCTCTTTGAGCAAGATTGCCAATTTAGTCCCAATTACTGCCAAGTTTTTGGTCGTTTTGTGATTTTGCACCCACTGGAAATTTGGACTATGACAGCCCTAAATCATTTCACATATGAGCTGTACAGTCAAAGGGGAGATATTAATCCTATCAATTTGACCTGGACTCAGAGGTGAAAGGGCAGTTTACTAACCCACCCTGCTCCACAAATATACTCCAATATGTATTCCAAGAATAGCATATACTCCTGAGATTATATTGTGAAGGACGTTTATCTCATCGGTTGCAACAGTTGAGTCGTTAGTTTAAGGTAGATCTTATTGATCAGCTCTTACATTGGAAAGCAACAGGAGGAACTTAACAAAAAGTTCAGGATTAAATAAAGAATTCTCCACTGGTCGTCATTTTGACAATCAACTACATCTACCATTCCTGGCTCTGACTATGGTGATAGTAAAATTATAATAAGTCTCGCATTTCATCTAGCGGTTTTAATGTCAGGAGTATGCCTCAAGGTGCTTCACCTGATTTCCTGTAAAGTGCACTGACTGTATTTTGTATCATGGAATGTATCAGCCAGGTTGCACACAGCAATCATAACAATAATAATCTTTGCATTTGATTTAGTGGCTTATGTCTTTGAGACGTTTCAAAGCGCTTCACAGAATACACTGCAAAGTGAATTGACTGTATATTTTGCGTTGCCGTTTCACATTTCTTTCTTTCATTTGATTTCTGCATTTTGATACTCCGCTGTTCTGCTGTGGTCAAAGGGAGAGTGAGGGCTGTGTACAGGGACTTGCAAATACTGGTTTATATCAGTTGACAATGGGGGACATGTTCCACAGTGCAGAATAACTCCCTGAGGTGGTGGACTGTATTACCACAAAGCTATCCTAGCTTGCAGCCCAAGTATAAGAGTCAAAACATGACTATGATCAATTGAGGGCTGCGCTTGAATCCCGGGATTCAGGTTAGAAGTATCACCACTTTGCTATTAGAGCTCTCAATTCACATACAATGAAGTGGATAAGGAAAATTGACACCCAAAGAGGGGCGAGGTAAGAAGTTTGGCTGTCTGTGCCTATTCAGGTAAATGTTAAAGTTCCCGTGGTACTTACTCGAAACGTCCTGGCCAGTAATCCGCTAAATAAAATTGGACAATGCTGTGCGCAAATTGACTGCTGTGTCCAGCTACAAAATTCACAGTTCACTTCGCTCTGCAGTACTTCCTGTGAAGCGCTTGAAGACGTCCTCCTTAGGTGAAAGGCAGGATATCAAATCTAAGGATTATTATATTTTATTATCACTAAGTGCCAGAATTTGCATTGTCATTAAGCCGTGGCTATTTAAAAGGCCGATGTAGATGAAAAAAGTACTGTATAATGCAGCTAAAATATGGATTTTTTTCACACGCACTTTCCCTTTCTTTCGTACTTCAAAGATGCAGACATATAAAAGGAAATGTCTTTGTTCTCAAAAGTTTCCTCTTTTCTTTTGTCTAGGTTGACACGGCCCGGTTTTCCTGGTTAGCACTTCGTGGGAAATTCAGGTCTCTGCTCACAGCAGAAGCTCGAGAAGATTTGTGACAGATGGGTTCAAGTCACAAACTTGCAGCCTAAGGCAGAATCTGTGGAAGTTTCCACAGTGTGCCCATATTTACCTGATCAGAGAGAAAGAAAAAAAAATCTGCAGAGGAAGCTGAGGCTGGCTGCCTGTCATAGCTGACACAAAGCCATCTGCCACAAACCTGTGGCAGCTTCAGATCTCCGTTCCCTGCCACCACCCCAACCCAAATTAAATACAGATTCATATAGAAGTTACGACGGTTAAACATGTCCCTGTTTCACATGCAGGAGACTATCTGCTCAGAAATATGTGGCCTGTTGTGTAACCACATTCATGTATCCCATATGTGGTGCCACATTGAATTTCCGGTCGAATCTGTTTTTATCCTTTGTACTGTATGACATGGTGCCTAAATACTTTCTTCTCGCGGACTTGATGGCAGCCAAGCTACAGCTTCAAAAGCTCTCACTTGGCTGCGTTTCTACCTAGGTTGCCAGGTTATCGTTGGAGTCCTGTCATGTCCTCAAAGGGCCACAGGGTCTGAAAGGAGGATCAGAGTGCTAGTGGACTAATTGGGCAGCCATCCATGAATTGTTCTCAGGCAAAGACTGCACTTTGTATTTCCCTTTTTCTTTGCAAATTAATCACTGCGGTGCAGGGATTTTTTTTTAAGCAAAGGTATTAATACGAAGTCTGGCAGGTATTCCCTTGATCTGCTGTCTTACGTTTGCAATTAATTAATCTTAACGAAAGCTGAAAGATAAACAGCTGTAATTGAAACTAGTATTGAGAATATGCTACGTGGTGCCATCTATCTGAAAAAAGGAGAGCCGAGATGCTTTTCTCTGTTTCCGCCACCCTTTCAGACAGTGAAACAAGTAGCCACTATCGAAATCTACCTCCAATGGACCGACTCGTATCAGATTGTAGCTGCAAGCAGATGCTGCTTCGAGAAGTGAATCAAAAACACAATTAAAGAACAAAGGTTTTGTCGGAGTAAATATTAAATGAATGTCCAGAAATTTCAGCATAGACACTGAAGATTAATTAATACATGCCTGCAGAGAGCAAACAGAGCCCTCTTACTTCTCTGATACCTCACAGCTGTGTCACAACGCAAAGGTATTTTTTTTCTCTCTCCCTTTTAAATCATACAGTAGTTCTGTTTGAGGTCATAGGCAAAGCTTTCTTCTCAGCATCTCCTCTGTGATAGTGTGTCTCTGTCGCTTACAGCAATGTTTTTTGGCTTTTAGATAGATTTGGCTTTTTACTCTGGAAAGCTGATGGTATGACACCAGGCCAGGAAAATATAAGCAGCAGTTAAAAAAAAAGCCTTGGCAAGATAGGGCTTAATGAATCTATCTACTTAATTTTTTTGTTTTAAAAAATGTTTTATGAATAATGTTGTTTGTTAGGAGGAGAATGTGCTTAACTGTGGCATTAATAGACTTTGCAGAGGTTACTCAAGCCCCTGGGTACATCACAAAACTGTCCTCCTACACGATAGAGCATGCAGCTGCAATTTAGCCCCAGGCACACCTAGCCACAGTCACTATCTAATGCATTTTACATTTGTGCAGATGAAAAAAGGAGGACTTTGCACTCTTTGTTCCTTTGTACCTCTCATCAGCTGCCACATGGAAAGTGTAGTGTAGGTTTTTCTTTGTCTTTAATCTGTAATTAGGAATTCTGTGTATAGTCTCTTCATTGTGGTTGCCATCGGAGTTGACAAATATTACTAAGGGATCATGGTAGTCAAGTGTAAGGAATAGAATAATACATCATGCCAGCGCTGGGAAGTTTGGGGAGGAGCTTTCTCTGCTTCTAAATTCCCACTTAAATGGGACCACTGTGTGCTTGCGGGAAATAAACCCTGCTTTATTTTCAGAGACGCAAAAACAAAAGGCACAAAATTGTGCCGGGCATTAAATTCTTTCACCTGGTTACTATGACAAAATAACAAGGCATTAATGCAATTTTTTCATCATGACTGAAAGTGTCAGACTGATTCAGATGTGCACATTACAGTGCTAAGTCTGCACACCCACGACTTACGAGGTTGTGGGGGCGGGGAGGGGGTAAGCGCGAGAGGAGGAAGACAGAGTGGCAGTAGCTCCTTCTGACTCTATAATGGCGGGTTCGGTGTCATTAACCCCTTGAGGTCAATCATCCAATTATTGCTTGAATGTCAGTTGTTCCAAAGTGTTAAAAGTATATGAAAAAACACCTCTCGCAAACAAGAAATGTCATAGTCGGGCCTGAAATGCATCTTAAACGGTCTCCCGCTTGCCACTGGCTGATACAGTTGTTTCGCTCGTACAGCCAAGGAGTTTATTTTAGAATCTGCAGACCCATATTTTCGGCTTGTAAATTTTTTTTTGGGGGGGTGGGGGAGGGGTTGTCAGCCGAGTGTCTGACACACGCGGAAACCCATCACCGTGCTTCAGAGTATTCAAACTTGTAAAATCACTTCTCGAAATTAAAAATTAATCCCCAAACATGTTGGTCATACGCTCCTTTTATTTCTGAGAAAGAAAAGTTCCTCAGAGTATTTGTGATGAATTGCAAAGTGCCTTCTCCCTTCTCTTGCCTTCCCCTCTCTCAACACTCCCCTTCCCTCCCCCCCACCCAACCCACCCCCCCACTTTATCCATCCAGTTTCCTTAAAAGATGCATTCTGTCTGACGCATTCATAGTAACCTGAGCCCAGTTACTGGGTGATTGAAACAATTTTATTTCCGTTACGTAAATGCAGCTGAGCAACAACTTATGTTGTGTTACTAAATCTCCATCCAATGCAAAGAACAACTAAAAAAAAATTAGGTTTTGCATTAAAAGGTACTAAGTGGATCAAGCGATTTGAGCCACCATACATACCCCTTCCATCAATCAAATCAGTTTTGGTGAATCCTTTGTTCTCTGTGTAACAGGCCTCAATCTAAGACTCCTTTGTGTTCGGTTTATAACGTTACATTACAAAGGGGTTTTAAGATTTTCCTGCCGTCTTTTCTTCAGCTGAAGCTTTTGATCTTAAACCTGCTGTGCCTGGTGAAATCCTCACCAATTCTTGAGCACCCCCACATTATTGGAATTTGAATGGACCCACCTGAAGGATTTAACTCTCCGTACAGCATTAGTTGTCCTCCAGCCTCCGTCTATTGTTCCTGTGGACAGAAGGGGGTCTCAGGGAACCTATTGTGCATCTCTTGAGTGACCAAAGGTGCCCTCTGTGTGAGTTATATTCCTCTGGAAATAAACAACTGTGAAGAAAGGAAAACCTGTATACCTTATTTCCTGCTATCTGCATTTAGAGCTAAGGAGCTGAGGGGGTCAACTTAACTCACCAGTCTACCTTAATATCTTCAGTCATAAGATGCATAGAAACTCACTGAAGGACTCTTAAACTTTCATTGCATGCATTCTCCCCTATGGTGAAGTGTTACGGATCACATTTAAGAGTGAACCTCCCCTTTCAATTTTATGGCCTCTTTTTGACATGTTCGTTTCAAAGCTACGTTTTTGGCAAGTTTGTTTGTTAAGTTCCACTATTTCATTGCAAGTAATTGGTATTAAGATCTTCAGGTTGTAGGAAAAAAGGCTTGGTGTTCAAAAAGTTTTGCAAAACGTGAACGTTTGAGACTCATTAGCTAAACTAAACGAGGGAAAAACTGGCAAGGGAAAGCTGCATGGGAGTAATCTCAGCAATGAAATTGGTATAGTTAACATTGGAAGTTCTCGATTCAGCATTCAAATCCTTTTCTTCATCCTAATATTACTTGATAACTTTGTTCTGTGCAGTCTAACAAGGGGAGAACAGTAGGTGCACTAGCCTTTCTAGTTCAGCCTAACACAGTCACGATGCTGACAACCTGCCTTGAAAGGCATGCTGTGGTCAGGATGAGTTTGGTCTTTGGATCAGAAGGGCTGCCACTCATAGTCACTGTGTGATCAGTACTCGCAAGGTACATTGGAAGCAAAAGTGTCAGCTCAAAACCATTCTACTTTTCCCATATCTACAGGTCATCCCTTTAAAAAAAATTTTAAAAAATTGGTCACTAAATCCAAGATTGTTTGTGGGACAATTGGCTGCCGCGTTTCGCCCACAAAATATACAGTCAATTCACTTTACAGTATATTCTGTGACACATCTCGAAGACATGATAAGGCGCTATATCAAATGCAAGGATTATTATTATTAAGCACCGGCATGGACTTGTTGAACCACATGGACTATTTCCGTGCTGTAATGTTTTAATCTAACATGAACCCTTTGTGGTATAGGATTGTCAGATTTCATTTGGATGGGAAGGGGTTAAACTGACAAACATTAAGAAGATTGGCATTCTTTCATTGCCTATAAATTACTCTTTATATGGGACAAAGATTAAAAGCATAAGATGAACTGCACAAACTCTCAGTATAATCCTGAAAGAGGCATCCACCCAACATTTAGAAACTTTCCAAATTATCTTTATAAGACATACGACGAGCTTGAAAGAACATAAGATTTGCTCAACGAAAGAAGACCAAGGTTCATCCAGTTTGCTTTCCACCTTCCTGGCAGTTGTATGCACATGTCATGTCCCAAACTATACACCGTCTTCCATAATATTATTTCCTAAACTAAATCTATCTCATTTGCTTTTGAAAGAATCAACAATTTCTGCTTCCACCGTCTCCCTCGGGAGCCTGTTCCATACATTTTCTGTTTGACATTGTTCTGTGATTTTCTGAGCTCAAAAAGTTGAAGGGAGCAAATTAACGCACATGGGCACAAAATGACATGGTTGCTGAAAGACTCAGGGTTACTGATCGCACTTCTACGAATGCTAATTTGGTGAGGCAGTACACACAGTGCTAGAGCCCCACTCCTGGCAGTTATGTGGAGGTGGTGGTTTCAGCAGAAGTGCGATCAATGCAAACCGATACAGCCTAAACCTAGTCTGAAGTAAGTCATACTGAACTCACTTTAAAAGCACTGAGATCTTCTGTTAAACTACTTGAGAACTTTGTAGCGACACAGAGCAAAACATAGCAAATACCTAATTTCAGTCTTCCCTTTCCATATCGCTGTGCGGACAGGAGGAAAGCAGTTTAGCTTCCCACTGTATAAATATTATGTCAGATGGAGGAGGTAATAAACCTGAGATGGGTTACACACACACATACACACAGCCCAAGTGTGAAAATGACTGAAGCATCACAGGTTAATGGCTGTACGTCTCCTAATGTTCATTTTCCTCATTAGTTCAGTAACTGGTTCAAGCCATTTCCTTCACTGTCACCAGCATTTTATTGTCCAAATCAAATTATGTTGAAAGTACCATGCCAAAACGTAATCCTTTGGAACAGTTTGATTTTTTTTCCAAGAAAAGAGGTGAGTCACGCTATTTTGCATCAGTAAGAGATGTGACCATTAACTCAGTATACTTTTTTTTGCTGTCATGTCATTTCAACCATGTGTGTTAATTCATCTCCTACAAGTTGTTGGGTTCAGTAACTCCTGCAAGCTAGTTCCTCTGATAATAATATCAGTATTCACTGCTTAAAATATTTTTTTAAGCACTTGATGTAAATGGTGATGGCATAGAGTGGGATGTGATGTGATGTGGGTCCAAACACTCCCATGGTCCCCAAGCTACTGAATTCTAGATCTGCTTGTCCACAATGTGCAGAAACACCAGATTGGGATCAGACAATTTGCACACTACCTGGGGATAATGAAAGAGAACCGAAGGGAGACAGCTCTTCCACACGCACGTCTTAGAGGCAAGTTCAGAGTTATGTCCTATGTGCCTTGGGACATCCTCCCAACCTGAAAGGCGTTATACAAATGTATTTTTGTATTGTATTGTATGTCAGCTACCACAAAGATACAGATCCCCCTATGCACCCACACAAACACAAGCTCCACAGACAAAGTTGACTCCAGCAAGTTCAAGGGAAAAAATATCTGGTGCGGCAAAAAGTTAGAATTACAATTCTGATTTATGTTTTTCAAAAAGATGAAACATACCCATTGATCAGCTTCGCTTATTTGAAGTTTTAAAGTAACAAGCTATCTTTGCAATGAAGACTTTGGGGTAATACAATCTTATGTTAAATAAGCAACAACAAATTACATTTGTATAGAGCCTTTCACGTCGGGAGGACGTCCCAAGGCGCTGAAATATCACAAGTAAATACCCATTAGGAAGTATTTTCATTGCAGAATTCATTTTTTTTAGTTAAACTTGATAATGACTTTAGTACATTTGTGCAGAATTCTTATCTTTTACTGCATGGAATGAAAAATATCAAACTGGCAACAGATTCCTTATAAAGCTCCTATCTCAAGCATTTCAAACAAGAAGGTATGGCCCATAAGTGGTAGTGTTGCTGTATTATTTCAACTCAGTCACTATACTTTAGAGTAAATCCTGTAAAGTGCTTTAAAATGTTTTGATGAGGTGATAAGTCACCATATGAAATTCAACAATTATTATGCTTGTTATTATTCACTTGTGCATCAATATGTTTGTTAGGATTCCAGTGTGAAACGTAAAATTGTGATATACTGTGAACTACCCGCCAACCATCTTTATTGATGCTAAATAATGTGCTTTATGAGCAGCAAAGTTCACCAAGATCTTTGCTGTCTGCAAGCAAGAAAATAAGCATGGCCTTTAGCGCTGTGTTTTGCAATCAATACAATTTGGCACTTGTGTCACAGTCTGTAAATCAAGCACAGATGAAACCTGCAATTCATTTTTTTTTCTTTCAAACTCAGTTTAACTAGCGCATTAAAATGAACATTTAAAAGGCCAGGTTTCTCAGTAAAACTTTGTGATCTCTCCCTTTCCCTTCAAGTCGACTCTTATATAAACTGACCGACGAACCATTTTGATTTTAATTTGTGTATCGTTTCCAATGAATACTGTATTATACAATACAACACAACACAATTTGATAAGCGTAGGACTCTGTCTCTTTCCCAAGGATTGCCAAAGTAAACATACCGCAGTAGTTTTGCAATGTGGTCTCCTTCTGATAATTGGAGGCTAACTGATATGCCTCTGATATGGGTTAACCAAAACAGGCAGTGTCCTCAATAGTGAGGCCACAAATGTATTGAGAATACAAATCCTGTCCCATTTACTGTTGAATTGCAGATCCGACTGCACTGTTTACCTAGCAGTAAGTAGGAACCCGATTGTTAGTCGATTGGCCAATCGTTTTTAATAATCCTTCAAAAAACAAGATAATAATGGTAATTTGGTCACTCAATCTATGTTCGTGGGAGTTTCGCCTGCAAAATGCACAGGTCAATTCACTTTACGGTATATGCTGCGAAGGGACATCTCGAAGACGTGAGCGGGCGCTATATCAAATGCAAGGGTGTTTCATGCAAGCAGTTAAAAAACAACACGAAAATAAAAACAGATTCCAAATACCAGCTTCCAAAGAAGCAACGTGTTTATTATATAAAGCAGCTGACTGCAATTCCATTGTTATTGGT